GTGGCGGTCGGCGCCGCGAAGCGCCGAACCCGAGCTCCAACAGCTTGCGACGACGTAGCTCCTGCTCCTGGAAGTCGTGTTTCTCGTTCACCTGATGTTGCTGGTGATGCCTAGTGCTGGTGTGCTGGTCGGCGTGATGATCGCTCTGACACTGGACGCAGCTCGCCTCCAGCAGGAGCTCAGAGCTGCTCCCGCGCATCACCCGACCGCTCTCAAATAGGTGCCAACCGGAGCTTCTTCAGCCGTTCCAGGGAAACGATCGAGGGTTCTCGAGGATCCTTATCTTCACTAGGACTCATCGAGCGTCGGCCACGGCAGCTTTTGTCTCTTGGCTACAGAGGGGTCAGGGGTAGGCTCGATCGCGAGGCCGCAATTCGAGCCACCTCTCGCATGGAGAGCAAGTAGTAGATCTTTGGACCGTTCGATCGAAGCACAGTTTGCTTCGGTAATCTCATTTAGCGAGCTGCGTCATTCGATGAACACGGAGTTTTGCGGTGTTTTTTCGGTGAACGTATTAAAAAGGCTCCTTTTTAATAGGAGGAGGACCTCCACTTTTCGTTGAGCGGATGCGGTTTTAGAATGCACACTGCTTAGGACCATGTGGAAGTGAACGATACGTTTCTACGGTTTTTCGTTGATCGTATCAGTCCGATTGGTTGTTGCTTTAGACTCTCGAAACGAAATAGACCTCTGGACCTCGGCAAAACGGTCCTCCGTTATCGTTGCTCCGCCAAACACGACGGTGCCTTTGAAGTCTCATGGAAATTCTGTGAAAACTCGAGAGAGATCTCGCTATCAACGCGGCACATTTCGCTAATGGCAATATGTTCCTGATCATTCGAATATCCTTGACACGACATTTTGCAAATGGTCGGATATTTTGCTATCGCATCATCTGATCTGTTACAGTGCAGTGTCCTGTCTTTAATGAATTCTCTTTCAGAGATCGTGGAATGGATTTGAAAGTTTGTTTGCTGTTCGTTATTTCAAGTGACACGGTCAGTGCCGGTTTTAGCAGTCAAACGAACCGACCAATTTGTCTGTGCCTTATAACGTTCCCGTTTTATCGCTATGCATAATGACCTTGCACGTTTAAAGTTCTTTTAGGCCATCGAAGTAAGTCGATCGATCACGACCTTTTAGCTGTAGTCACGCTGTCGGGCATAGAGCATCTTGCCTAGCTCGCTCGGCTTGGTCTTCCGATCCGCGTGGAAAAGTTTCAAGGCCGTTATCTTTGCGCTAAGTACATCTACGAACCACTTTCTTCTCAACGAATTATCACCGAATCTCTATCTCGTAATCGACGACACTTGAGAGGATCGTTATCGAACTTAAATTCTTAATTAGGCCTTAATATTAATTCATCGTTCTCTTCGATTAACAAATATCGATAAGAATATATAGAAACACGATATAATTCGGTTAACTAATCATTTCTGTAATCCAATTAATTTCAGTTCCCTCTCTGATAATACGTTTCTTTTTTTCTTCCGTTTTCCACCTTCGTTCGTCCCTTTGTCTTATTCAGCAATCGAGAGAACAGACATAACAATCTCGGCAACATCTATCCAACTAACGAAAGTCGATGATAGATCGATTACTATCCATTAGCGCGTATAATCAACAGGAGACCCGCTCAGAACATCGAGTCGGTTGTTCAGAATTGATCGAAATTTTCTTGCTCCTGTTCCTTCTCGTCGATAACCGTAACCGTAATCAAAGAAATCCGATGATCTTTCTTTCTAACGAACGACAGATCTTTTTCTAGTTGTTTCCTTCGCTCTTTCCTCTCGACTCTTCTCGTATAAATCCTCCAGGATATCCGAGAACTCTTATTAGCCTCTATTAGATTATCGCCAATGATGGACGAACTCCTCTCTTTTCTTTCACGCGACAAAGAGCACAGTCTCCCGCTGGCTTGGGTTACAAGAACGATAACACCCGCAACTGGTTGCCTCTGGCCGCTGCTTGTTGACCTAGAAATCTCCGAGTTGATCGGTGCCACACCGTTGTTTACCTAAGTCAATCCGAACGATCGAAGCCGCGTATCCAAAGCAGCGATATCTCTTCTGATCGAGAAATCCTCGACACCTTCCACCTACCACCGTGGTCAAAATACACCTGTCACCGTGTTACTTCTACGCGAGCTTCGATCCACAAGTGTCCAAAGGGGCCGATCTCTATCTAACCAATCGGATGAATCGCGTATCGAAACGTGGCAAGACGAATTCCAGGGAAAAGCAAAATGAAACACAAAGACACCTAACGTACGACGACACCCTGACACCTGCACCTGCCTCCTGGCTCCCTCGTCACCGGTTTCGAAACCACGTCTTCGGCAGGGTCACGCGACGGATATCCGGCACAGGGTGCAGGAGCTAGGATCGGAGTGGATTTTAATGCTCGTGTTACATCGGTCACACCTGCACCTGCGACTCGCGTTCCGGGGTAGCATCCGCCTCGCGGATCGCGAGTTAAAGCGTGACTACTCGTCGAAACTCGAACGAGAGTCCTCGACGGGACAAGCTTTCGTCCGAAGCGACAGGGCGGGGTTCCAGGCGCGCATGAGCGCGTATTCTATCTCACCCCCGCGGCCACCACCCCCACGTTGCATTCCCCTTGTTTACGCTCCTGCCTTGCTCCCTTTTTGTTCGTCTTCGCGCCGTGCTCGCAATTCTCTCCTTCTCCTTCTCCGTTATCGTCCTTTAATTGCGACCCATAATTAAACCAATTTTTTCATCCGTTCCTTTCACTAGACTTCTTTTCGCTTTTGATGGAATCGAGGAGGATCGATGAATTGGATGAAAGATTGTTTTGATCGAATTTCTTATGCGCGAGATTTAGTCGGTTGATTGGTTTCGATACGATGGGGATCAGATGGTTTTTAATGTATAGAAGATATTAATATATTTGGGAGACATCTTCGGATGATTGATTTTAGAGACCTCAAAATGTCGATTGACACTTGTTTGTTGTGAATAATATTATGAAGTTTGCGTTGGACGAAAGAAAATGAAGATAGAATGAGATGGTGAGATGTGATGGATATAAAGTCTCACTTTATTTATTGTTATGCTTGAATAAGTTTTTCGATTATCAATGTTATGTATCAATATATCAATTTGTTTGTAGAATCGATCATCCAAAAATATTTTACGAATACATCAACACTTTATAGAAGTCTTATAAAAGTGTTGTACAAGTTCTTTTTTACCAATTTCTATGAATGTAAATTTTTAATCTTCTTGACAAAATACATAGATATTCTTAGAATATATTTCAACATGTTCATAAAAAATCCTAACTCTTTCTTTTTATATCTTGCTTTTAAAAGTTCTCAGACTTTCCTCGCATTTTTCACAATTGTTTTATACGCAGTAGTTCACAATTGATTGTAAATTTCCATTGTATCTTCGTTATATATACCAGCAATCAATTTTAATTATAAATATTTTTAAATCTTTTGATTTTTATTTATATCTCAATTACAGCTCGATTTGATATTATACTGAAGTTGAATAGACAATATTTATTTCATAGTTTTAATAATTTTCTGATAGAATATGTTTCTGGGATTCTTTAGTTCGGAGATTGATTAAAATTTAAAATAGATTGAAAATGGTGATTGTTTTATCGGAGATAGTTTTTTGATTGTCGTAAATGGAACGAACACAAGGCAGAACTTGTATAAATTGGTTTAGCAAAGAAACGAGAATAAAATTCTAGTCGTTTGTGTTTGAATAGAAAGAACTCGAAAGTCGGATTAAAATATTTAAATTTGGTTTTTGCATTCCTCGATTCAATAATTAATAGTAAAAATTCCAAGAAATGAAATATTTTTTTTTTATTCTTTTTTTTTTTTTTGTTAAAAATTAAAATTTTTTTCATCATATATTTACAAATAACATTTTAAAGAAAATTTATTCAGAAAAAAAATAAGTTTCTTCCAATTCGAAAATTAAACTGACATTTACTTCTTGAAGATCCATTTCTCATTAAAAAATTTTCTTCGTTTGAAGTCAATCTTCTAAATTGAATTACTTTTTCGAAAGCTGTGTACTTTTGCGGCTACCTTTTTCATTTCCTACTACTTCATGATATTTAAAGGTCTAAACTTTGACCTTTTTAAAAATATTTTCTTGTTTGTTCAGTAAAAATTTGATTAATATTGAAAAACATATGTAAAATTTAGAAAAATAGTACACATATGTATATCATTAATTTTCAGAAAAATATATCTATTGAAAATGAACAATAATTATATTCTTTTCACTTAAAGAAATTAATTTATCATACTGAATCGAACTTTTATCTTTTTTGAAAATCCTTCTCTAATTACTTATCAATTAATCCTTCTCTTTACAAATTTATTTAAAAAAAAATATTAATATTGAAAAGAAATCCTTCAAGAAGAACCTCAATCCATCACACTAAATCTTCCATCCTTTCTTTAAAAAATTCTCTCATTCAATAAAACATCTTCAAATTTTTTTCTCGTCGTTCAGACACATCTCACTTTCCAATTCTTTAAAACATCACATTCATCGTAAAAAGAAAAGAACATTTCACTGATATCGTTTATTCGGCGCATAAATCAATCCCGTCGCCAACCTTCCAAACTTGTACTTCATCTTTTTTGCCGCGTATCAAACGATTCGGATCCGTGAACCACATTTTGGGCGCAAAAACGTAAGCCAGGGCGCAACAAAAGCAACAGTTTGCTCGTAAATCCCGTGGTCGTTAAGTTGGCGCAAAAAGGAGCGTGACGTTGCTCGCTTTACTAAAACATTAATTATGCGCGTCCTGAGCTTTTCACAAACGCATATGAATTGTAAGAAGATTATTCTCGCGATAACGATCGCGATTTCCTTGAAACTATGGTAAATTTCTTGATTGTTGTTTCATTCTTAGAATAGATATTTCTTTTGAGAGTAGATATTTCTTTGTTATCATAAGAGATTACAGAAAGGATGAATGATC